TCCTTCGATCCGGTCGGATTCGAAATTCGAAAATAATATTACCAAAAATAAACTGGGCATATTTTTCTTCTCATTACCGGCTATGGCTGTAATGAGAAGAACAAAGGCCCGAGGGTTTTATATGGAGCGTTATAATCAAGTTAGCCTGCATGCAATCATATTATTTACGTGCAAGTGTGATGAAAAACATTGTATGTTTCACGGGCGGTACGGGAATTACCAACCTCGACTCCGAAAATAGTTTCGTTCGTAATTCCTTATTTACCGCCCTTAATATACTATTATAATACATATATGTTAAGGGCTATACATATAATATAATGTAATATACTATTACTTCTCTTTTTATTTTATTTTTACATTACTGTGATTTTAGACTTTGCAGTGCCCGCAAGCATAAATTAAAAAATATCTAAAGATGTAAAAACTTACTGCGGACTCCTCAACGAATTATACTTCCGTTTCCTCTCTTCACAAAATTCACAGTCAGAATAATCCGAAGACGGGCTCGTGAGTGCACTAAAACAATAAACAACAAAAATAAAAAACAAAACAATAAAAAGAATCAAATTGTACGCGTTAATCGTAAAATGGTTACTAAATGATTACAGACTACAGCCCGCGCGAGCGGCTATTATTTACTTTAACGTATAATTTATGTACTTATGTATATAATGAATAGTTTTAAACACTAGCTCTTACTCGCGACTTCGTCCGTGTAATTTACATATCACGTCATTGTTATAATTAAATAACAACTTTCATTCAGTGTCAGTTGTCTAAAACACGTTTAAAGTTAACGAATTTGAAAGAAAACATTAGAAAGGCAGGAGGTCTACCCAAAATAGAAACAACGCCGTGTAGTTTATGAGGCATATAAATTTGGGGACCTTTTAGCAGTAGAAGCGTTAGTGGAAGCGTTCGTCCAGGGAAGTACTGCCACATTACCTATTTCTGCCGCCAAGCAGTAAGAGCTGGTAAAACTACTTACAAGCGCATGGGGCTAGTATACTTGTGTGTCAGGGAGACCTGCGCAGAGGCAGTGAACCGCTGGTCTTTGTGGTTTAAAGTTACGAACGGCAATGTACCTGTTACGGACAGGCGTGTCACTTACCACCATGCACCAGACGCATGACTTGTCGTCCCGTCGGTTAGTTTAATAAAATTTTAAAAATAAAACCCCTGCTATGGAAAAGAAGTTGTTTGTTTTAATGATAAAAGGTTTCGGGTACTTTAGAAAAATGTATTGGATGAAAAGTGTATACGTATCTTTGCTAGTTATCTAAAAGAAATCAGGATTAGAATTACAAATTAGGTTGATAAAACATTAGTATGCAAAAAAGTATAATATGTCGAATACAATGACTTATATAGTCACTGTAAGCAGATATTTGATGGTGTTGGAAAATTCCTATAGTGATAATTATAAAGTTGGCTTAAGAATAGGTAACATGACAAAAAGAGTAAGGCAGGGTAAACTAGTGCAGTTTAAAGCAAATAACTATTATAGAATAAGATGTACACGTTATTTATATCCAAAAATAAGGAATGACACAAAATAAGTAAATATGCACCAAAATGTAGATTAAAAGCGTACCACTTAAAGTAATTTTTATGTTTTATTTAGTAAGTACAAGTAATATCGAATTCTCAGGTTTTCGCGATTGTTACACATAGGAAATGAAACTATTTTTCCGGATTTAAATCGCGTATATCTGTTTTTTCAAACAAAACCAACGTTTCGGGCCCTTTACAGGTCCCATGGTCACGGTTGGTTTTATTTGAAACAACTAATATACGCGATTTAAATCCGGGAAAATACTTTCATTTCCTAAGTAAAAAACTATGTAATGTTATAAAATATATAGTTAAGTAGGCATAATTAAGTAAAAGTGCACATGTCGCCAACAAACTGCACAGCAGTTTGGCGGCGTTTAGTAAATACTGTATTATACCCGCTGTATTCTTCTCTATATATAAAAATTAAAAAAAAATCTGTGGTACTTCTGACTAAGCACTCCTAGAAATATTGTTTTGGATTAAATCTCGGGCTATCTACATATTATATACTAATGATTTTAGTTGGGCTTTTGTATTCAAGGCATCAAAGAATTTATCGTAAATTTACATTGACGAATGACACTAGCGAATGTGTAAACGAATGAACAATTTTATATGGCAAATTACACAGCGCCTTTAGTCGTCACAGGAACTAACATTTTTTTTAAATTTAATGGCTCTAGATTACTAAGTGCCAGTATTAAAGTGTAAGTTAATAAACGGGTGGAATATAACCAAAAACGAAAAGAAAAATGAATGACCAAAGAGCTAACATTAGAAAGAATTAACACGTACACACATCAAAAAAAGTTTGCGATCACTTCGAAAAACTGAAATCTTTTTTGTTACTGTAGATTATATTATGATTTTTTCTTCTTTTTAGATTCTTTATTTAAAAATAAATTAGAACATAAAACAATGACCCCGTTCAATTGTTTTTTCATATAAAAATGCTTTCAGTCCTAGCTTACGCTCATTCAGAAATCTGATTTAGTCAATTATAAGCGATTCAAGATATTTTTCGCGGAAAGTTGTGATTGAAAAAATGCCAAGAGGATTATCAGAGGTTTTACGAGCTAGAATAGTAACTTTGAGGGAAGAAGGATACACCACGAGAGTAATAGCACGCAGACTTGCTATATCCCAATCCTGTGTCGTGGCTACGTTGCAGAGGTATCACGGAATGGGGAATTTAGCTGACCGACCCCGCAGCGGTCGCCCAACTGTTTTGACAGCTGCCCAAAAGCGCTATATTAGATTGCTGGCAGCCCGTGATCCAACAATCAACGCCACTAAAATAAAAGCAGAAGTCAGGGCCGCCTCTGGGCTTGAAGTTAGCACGCAGACCGTTCGCAATTGCTTGCACCAGGCTGGATTACGAGCACGGAGGTCTTGGCGAGCTCCGCTCAATTCCCGGCAACGTCAACAACGAAGATTGCAGTGGGCTAGACTTCGGCAAAATGAAGAAGGTGAGGACGAAAACATTTGGCAAAACTGTCTCTTCGTTGACGAATCCCGAATCAGCACTCATCCAGATAACCGACGTGTCCGTGTCTGGAGAAGACCAGGCGACCGTGAAAGACAAAGAACTGCCACTGGAACAGTTCAGCAAGGCGGAAAATCGGTGTCCTTTTGGGGTGGCATTATGATTGGAGCTAGAACGCCTTTGATCCCGTATCGGGGCTTCATGACAGCAGACATGTACAAAGCAGTTGCTATTGATGATATCGTCAGACCATTCCGAGTAAACCATGGGCACCAATTTGTACTGGTCGATGATAATGCGCCCGCACATCGAGCTCAACGAGTCAATGCTGCTCTTCAAGAATACGATATCACACGATTAGACTGGCCTGCCGGCTCGCCCGACTTAAACCCAATAGAGCACGCGTGGGATGCTCTTAAACGAGCAGTATGGAACCGTGAGCCACGTCCCCAGACAGTTCCAGAGCTCAGGGAAACCGCTATTGAAGAATGGGATAGGTTACCCCAGGAAATGCTGGATAACTTGATCCTCAGCATGCCCAGGAGGATCTTCGCATGTATTCGAGCCAGGGGAGGAGTTATTTTATATTGAATTCACACCTTTTAATAATAAATTGTTGTTTAAGTTTAATTAAACAGTCTTTTTCTTTCTATGAAATTTCTATCACTATTACATTATGATTAATGGCTCAATTTTTTAAAATAAATAATAAAAAATAGTTTTATATTTTAATTTCAAACAGGGTATTCCTATTTAAAGAAAGCATACAACATAGATTTTTTCTTGATAAAGTTAAATTTAAAGAATTATAGGAGCTTATGCTATTGATCGCAAACTTTTTTTGATGTGTGTACATCGCTATGGTGGGTCAAAATGACCGGCAAGTCATCTACCTATTGGGGCCGTGGGGTGTTAAAATGACCGGTACGATTTAGCTAACTTGCAATGCTTGTTCATGCTGCAGATGGCAAACGCTGCAATTTAGCCATATAGCACGTCCGCCGCGGACCTAACGAATTCCTGTTGCAACTTGATTTTTAGGATTTTTAATGGCATACCTCTACTTTTCTAGACTTATAAGAACAAAGAATATCTAATTTAAAAAAATTACTTTAATTCCAAATTGAATTTAAAAGTTTTGTAACTTGCTTTTTGATTGATTGATTGTATTACTTGCTCTTGATCTAGCCCTGCAGCAAAGATAGGGTCTACGATGGAACGAGCTCGCTCAGAAGATGACACTCGGGTTGTAGATATGTGTTTGGAAACAGTCGCAGGACGGGTATTCCATTCTTAGGCTGTGCGCGTAATAAAAGATGACGAAATGCACTTACGCCCCAATATCGACTATGAAGACATGATATCCCTGTTGATTTGTTTAATTATAATAACGCAATATTAAATAAAAATTAAAAAAAATCTTAACGGTTAATATCAAATGTGTATTTTATTCTGCAATTTTTTTTTATTATTTTTGCACTGTGCTTAGGCGTCAGTCGTATACCTCCCCAATGACAAAGTTGGAATCAAATATAGTTTGTTATTGTGACATCTCTAGTCAGCGATGATAGCTGTACAGCATCGAGTATATAACCAGAAATAAGACGAAATAAGGGCCGTCCGTCTCTGGCAACTCATCAAGCAAATGGACCTTATACCACTTTTAAATATCAACTCTCGTTTGCACTGAAATCATAAAATAGAAAGCTGAAATAGTACAACGCCAACAACTGACCTGTGTGTACGTCTTCGGATATTCCAAAAATAGTCTGTATTTATTGTAATAACGATAATATCTCTAAAAATGCGGGTAGACATAGGTATCTATATTTTATACACAAAATGTACGAAAGTGATTTAGGAAGGTTATTGTTTTACACTCTCCCCTTCGCCGTTATCAGGGAGGCGCTGAGGTACCATAATATCCCCAGGTACCTCAGCCGTCTGGTGGAGCACTACCTGGAGGACAGGGTGGTGCTCTACCAGACGAGGGAAGGGAGGCGCGCCGAGCGCCCAATGAGGTGCGGAGTACCCCAGGGGTCCGTATTAGGACCACTACTGTGGAACCTGGGGTATGATTGGGTGCTGAGGGGCGCGCTGCTTCCCCGGACGGCGGTCATCGCGTACGCCGATGACACGCTGGTGGCCGTCCGGGGGACCACCTTCCAGGAGGCGGCCCGAAGAGCCTCAGTAGCGGCGGACATGGTGGTCCGCCGAATACAACTGCTGGGGCTCGAGGTCGCCGTGCCGAAGACGGATGTGGCCGTCTTCGGCGGGAGGGGTAGAGGTTGGGCGGTGCCGGCAGGCGCCCACATCTCCATCGCAGGAGTATCGGTCCCGGTCAAGTCCCAGATGAAATATCTGGGACTTGTCCTGGACCGGCGATGGAACTTCGGGGATTTCCGGCAACTTGCTCCCCGAATAGTGGGCGCCGCATCGGCGTTGAGCAGGCTCCTGCCCAACCTCGGGAGGC